ATGGATGAGTGGTTAAGACAGGAGCGCGCAACCTACAGCCATAACAATAGCGGCGCTCGCCTATGGTTCTAGTAGTAGAACAAGTCTTCTCGGAATAAGGAAACCGTACGTTTAGTGTATGTAATTAGATCATATGCACTTTAAAGAACCCAGTACATCTTTTGAGACTAGTAGTGGGTCATCCCGGTATACGGGTTCATAAACAGTGGCGTAACTAGAAGTGTTGAAGTGGGGGTGCTGATAGTGGTGGAGGTGCGCTAAATCACCAAACAAATACATTATTGGTGATTTTTAATTAACATACTTGCGCGAATAAGCACTCGGGCGCTAAAAATATTTTTTTTCTTTCATTTTTTGAGGGGCATTTATTCAAAGGGGGCGCTTATAGATATACATGAAAATTGTAGGGTGCTTATGTAACTTCAAGAGGCACCTTTTAATGATTAAATGTTTTTTAATATATATATATATATATATATATATATATATATATATATATCCACTATTTGCATTTACACCTGGGTTGTGTATATATATATTGCCTTGGATTGGCTCTGTAATCATTAGTGGTCGTGGGACTAGTTTTGGCCCTACCTAAGCTGGTCAAACGTTTCGTTTGGGTCTGTACCCTAGCTGCACTGATGAGGCCTGAAAGGCCGAAATAAATCCGTCAGCAGATATTGAGATTCCTTCCAGTTGATGCTTAGTTTATTTTATCATTCTGAACGGATTTTCTCTACTGTTCCGTTTTTATTTTAATTTTAAATTGTTTTGCATTATATGGTCGTTTGTTGTTTTATGGGTTTTTCCCATTTGCCTTTCAAACCGAGACTCGAGCCCGTGACCTTCCATAAACATGGCGACATGGGGAACGTCAGCACAACTTGACCACAATAGAATGGTGGTTCAAGCGTCCAGAAGAATCTGTGGTTCTTTAGCAATGACATGTGCCTTGCTTAATATTATTACAATTTTTTTTTTAAATTCAATATTTGTTAATATATATACATATATTTACATTTTTTTAATTGCATGGTATATTATGACCAAGAAAATAAGAAATTTCGACTGCAAATCCAAAATAAGTGCCACTTGTTACTGAATAATAGCTATGCAAAATATATGTCGACCATCTTTGGACGCCATTTTGAAATTATTATAAAAAAAATGTAAGATTTAATGAGCCATAAAACACTTTGTTTAGAGAAAAAAGCAGGAACTTCAAAAGGAATGTACATAATCCACTGCTTATCTAAGGTACGGGCCAATTTGTTGCAATGACCTTTGACCGTTTCTGACATCATTAATGATATGTTTGCGTAACCCTTGATAAAAAAAAAATGTATTTGTACTGAACAATGATATTTTATACTTAAAAATGCATGTATTACAGGTTTAGGATAAGATATGGCTATCTATTCTATCCCCCACCACCTTGTTACTATATATAGAATTACCCTTTTTAGGTAAAAGGTCATAACAGATTTTCCCATGGCCGAAATCCAACCAACTTCTTTTTGGTGGGTTCCGGTTTAATTTTAACAGTTTCCAACAAAATTCGCTTTGTAAATACTTTTTTGCCACTTTGGTGTTCCGTCTGCCTAACTACTGTACATAGAAGTGTCATTAAAATCTTAGGGGTACAGATGTAGTCATGAGAAACAAATCATGAAATACAAGATGATTTACAACTGTTGGAATTCTAACATATCAATTGCCAAGCTAACAGTCTCATTTCAGGATTTAAAAAAAATGACAACGACGACGACGACGACGAGATGATTATTATGGAGCGGTGATGATGATGTTGTTGATGATGGCAATACCGGTCCTACCAAAATACATTATGTTGTAAATTCAACAAATGCTGTTTATTTCATATTTCAGTATCTTTTATTGAACAAATGAAGATGTGTACATAAATAGTATATAACGTAAAATTGAATTTCAAATTGAGTTATTAAATCGCTTAGGTAAAACTGCTCGATGATTATTACAGACAGCATATAGCAACTCATAATAACTACAGTACACTCAAAAACTGAAAACCTAATACAACAACCAGTAATGACAGGCAAGTATATAAAATATAAAGATCATAGAAAAAAAAACAAAAACCAAAAAACAAGATAAAATGTCTGATTAAAACTGAATTATTTTATAATTACAATGATGATGATGATTATTAAGGTGGGTGATGATGATGATTATGATTATGGAAAGCGAGACTTATCTCAACAGCGCACATGTTGAATATGTTCACGCTGCCATTTTATGGAACCCACAAACAATTTTTAAGGGGCAGTGTTTAGCGGAAAGGCATATTCAACATATTATTAAGAAACTGAAAAGAAGAAGTACAGAAACCACCAAAAACTATTGAATAACAACTACAAAACACAGAAAGAAGAGCAAGGACAACAAGGAATTTAAAAAAAAATCGATAAAGTAAAATGTTCAACTCTTTGAGTAGTTACCGTACTTCTTTGGTTTATTTGAGAGACATATTTTTTTTTTCAATTTCATTATTTTATCCTGTATTTTAACAAATTTAAATTACAGCTTAATTAAATTAATGAGAGTTTCCAATTACTTTGTATTTGTTATAATTAGTAATAAAAATACAAACTTAAAAAAGATTGGGTTTGAGTTCACGAAATTGGTGTTTAAACTCATTCTGATATTCAATGTTTTATTTCTTTGTTTAGAGCTGGATTACTATTTTTACACGGAATTGCTGAGCACTGTGAAAGATATAACGTATTTGCATCAAAACTTTCCAAATCTGGCATCTTTGTATTTTCACATGACCATGGTAATGATTATTCAATGCGAACAAAACCATTTTTTTTTTCACAATTACAAACAAAACAAAACTTACACTTCTGATATGAATTAGACTCATGCGTAATGATCATAAATCAAACAAAAAAATAGTCGTGGGTTTCAAGCTAGTGGGGGAACAGGCATCGCCTATTTTTTCATATCAATTTTTTTAGGCTGTTTTTGACAAGGTAACAAAACAATAACACGGCGCAATGTTTGGACGATTTCATAACCGAAAAAAGTAGGAGATACAAATGCACTTAATTACCTGATCAATTACTGCTGAACACTATTAAAAATTATTACCCAACCTATTCATAACACTTTAAAATAATATAAGTCCAATGTCAAGGGTATTCATTTATTGAATTTTAACATATTTTCATCAGTTCACGTAATAGAACGGCGCCCAGATAACTGGGCCGGCTGTGAGCTCGGTCAGGTTTTCTTCTTGAAAACCTTTAAAAGAATGCAAAAACTAAAGAAAAATGTTATCCAATGAGATTATTGTTAATGTATAACCGATCGCCAGAAAATTGCCTTTCTGTTTTCGCTTCAACCTAAGCATAAGGATTGGCATAGTCAAATTTACAACATTAATAAAAAACGACTCCTTACAAGCCGGCTTAAATCCCGCTGGAAACAGGCAAATATCATTTATATTTTTGTAATTCAAGCAAAAACTGATGGCCAGGAGCTAAATATCTGAAAACAAATATTTTGTAAATTGTTTATAATAGCTACATTTAAAATCTTCTATAAAGCTTTTCAACCTAAGTTATCCGATCTATTGCTTTTGAGCTTTTTGTATGAAATTCCAAGGTTTTTGAAGAAACGCTAATGGTTAAGAAATAAGGTGAGTGGACCAAACAAATTGATATGCCATTTTTAAAATGGAAAAAAAATGTTTAGTTTGAGAGTGCCATTTCTGGTGTTAAGTTAGTAGAGCCATAAACAACTCAACTCCATCATTGGTGAAGCTGAAGTGGTCTGGAGCCTGCATTTGTAAAATTGACTTTCTATAGCCTGATCAATTTCGAATTCCTCGATTCGACATTGGCAACTCTATAGATTTGTAGAAACTGCTCCTTTATTATTAATTTGTAATGTTTTCACAGTTGGACACGGCCAAAGTGAGGGCAAGCGGACGGATATCAAGGAATTTAATGTTTATGTTCGTGATGCACTACAGCACGCAGACTTGACGCGTGCTAAATTTAAAGGTCAAAACGTTCCCATTTTTATTGGAGGGCAAGCATTGGTGAGTAAATAAGAATATAAAAGCATTTTCGATATTTAAAAAACGCAACATCAAAACACTTCTCTCTTCTTTTTGCTTAAAAAAAAGATGTAATAAACACATCAAAGTATATTCTCAAAACTGCAGTAATCTCTCCATCGTAAAACTAAAATAAAAACTATGTTCTATCGGATATGGTTATCCAAAAATATTAATTATATAATTATTTTTCTTTTTGAAATGCAACTAAGAATCATAGATATAGAAAGATGGACCATTTTTTGAAAATATCAATTCATATTACAAATTAAGACATAGAGCCTACCAAATGTTTTAGCACACGTTCGGAGTAGATGAATACTTTGATACTAGTATATATTTTAAATAATCTTTAAATTGTTAAAATAATCATAATTAACAATTAATGCATGTTATTATCACTTATAAAATAGAAAAATATCATTTTGCATTTTTTACTGAAACTGGAAAAACATTTTCTACTCCATTTTGGAAAAAGAAAGTATTTCAATATTTCGGTTCTTGTTTTTATTATCCAGAGATGTGAATATTGTCAATAATGTATAAGAAAGCACTAATGAGAAGACAATAAATGCAAAACAATTACACCCATCTTTTGTAAATTGTATACTAAAACGTTTTTAAAAGTTAACCTCGCAAAACACATTGTATCTTAGAATATGGCACAATTTAATCACACTTAAATTTTTAGATATTGATCTACAATAGATGACCAGTAATTAAGTGTATGTATAGTGTTGAAAATTCTACTTCAACATCGTTCTATCCTTGGTAAGTTCATTCCTGTTCGATAAGAAATACAAAAAATGAATCTTTAAAGAAAGTAACTTTTATGTAAATATGTAATGTTGTGTTAAAAGAAAAACGATATCTTTTAAATAAATATTGTATGTACAGACATGGTGCATTAATGTGTTAGATGCTTGTAAAATTAATAGATTGATATTAGTTTTAATAAAAAAATACCATGTCATATAAGTTTATTATTACAAAGCTGTTGTGTGTGTGTGTGTGCGTGATCCTATCAAATTGTATACCTCAATGATCCTACAACTCTAGATTGGTGTTTAAAATATGTTCCAGCTACTTTCTTCGGGTAGCAGTGTTTTAAGTCTATGATTTCTTTTAAAATAAAGTTGAAGTTAAACTATTTTTCAGGGTGCCCTGATTGCCATGTTGTGTATGAATGCCAGTCCAGTTGCTTTCCAAGGTGCCATTCTGTTTTCTCCAATGCTCCTCTCAAGTTCCCTTTACCCTTCAAAAATTCAGGTAGTCAAGATTCAAATTACATTAAATAATGCAAACTTATCTATAATCAAATATTAAATATGTTTTAATAATATGTTATTATCTTTCCGAATAGTAGCAATGTTTGAAGCTGTAATACTGCCGAACATGTTAATGTATGAATAACATAAGGAATTTCTGATGCGTTGAAGTAATATATATTTTCTTATTTTTATGTTTAATATTTATATATTTTATTAAACAGGAATACATCTCAAATATTATGACGTTTATTTATCCACAATACGAAACATTCAAGATTGAAGGCCGATTTATTAGTAGGGATGAAACTAACGTAAGTACACCGAACAGGACGCGAAATATTAGTACATGTTCATATTTCCATAAAGTGTCATAAACCAAATAAACAGGGCTACTCAACCATTTCTTATAAAATTGGAAATCGTATGATATAGGACACTTGAAAAAGTCAAACACTTTAGAAATTGCAACTGACTCTTGTTAAACCTACATTATTATAATATAGCAGTAAATTGCTGCAAAAAAAGTGACTCCACGTTTGAATCCCGCTAGAGACACCTTTTTTTTTATACAACTGAAAAAGGAAACTTTCATGGAAGGTCTATTCAAGCAATGATTATATATAAACTAATAAAAACTATACATACACACACACAGTGGGTTAAAAACAGTACTTTAAGGCGAAAGTGGTGTCGCTAAGGGAACCTAAAGCGACGTTAAGGCGAAATCATAGACAAAAGAGTTCCCGTTAAGAGCCGAATAAATAAGAGACAGATATAAAACGGATCCGTCTGTAGATATTGGGATTTCCTCAAGTGGATAATTAGTTTATTTTGCCATTCTGATCAGATTTTCTCTACTGCTCAATTTTAATCCTATTTTTTCATTTTATATTTCTAATACACTTGTATATTTCTGCTCATCAATCAACTATACATCAAAAAACAGATGTTAAAATGTTTGTTTATTTCTCATATTACAGGCGGAGGAATATGACCGGGACCAATTAGTATGGCACGACGGCTTAAAAGCTAGAGCTGTCACTTATATATTGAAAACACAAAAACGAATAGAAGATGAAATCAGAAATGTCACATGGCCATTCATTACTTTCCACGGTAGCGCTGACGTATACAGTAATGTAGAAGGATCACAAAGGTTATATAAAGTTTCACAGAGTGAAGATAAGACAATACGGGTAATGCATATTACATATGCCTACATATATACTGAAGCTGTCAGGATTATCAGATTTTCTTTGACAAAGAAACTCGTTTATTAACATATAGAGTCATGACGTGCTTATATTAATTTGTGCTCAAAAGTTTGTTATGCTAAGTTCACTTCATAAGATTGCCAAAAATCCAAACCAACCCCTACACCCACCCACCTTTTTAACATCTGAACATGCTCAGCGCCTTTGATTTTTACTTTGGTTTAGTGATATTGGCACTTTATTAAATTATAATTACTATTATTATTTTTTATATCCAATTTCTGCCATTTTAAGGTCACTTATATTTCTTTTATTAAGCAATTAAAATTTCTAATAAGGCCTAAAAAAAAATGCTTGTTTGCCCTACTTTGTTTGAAAATGATACAGTACCGTAAATAGAGGCGGGAGGAAAAGTATTTTTTTTTAAATACTCATCAGATGGAATAAAAATAACCCACAGACGCCTAGAATGGCAATATCTTACATCAGGCAATAACTTTAGACTGTCTAATTTGTAGGGCATCTGGCAAAAAATAAAGATAAATTCACTCACATTTTCTTTTAATTTGTAAAGAAAAAAGCTAAAAAAAATCTTTTTAAAGTTGTTTCCCTGACCCTTTGTTTATTTCCCCCAATGATATTAAAATTAAATTAGGCATTCTAAATCAATAATAATTATAACAGTAATTGTCACGTATGGTGTATGCTATCCGGACAATATCTCATTTCATTGTGGCTTTCAAAGCCCTGGCTTAATCAAATTCTGGTACAGTGCCAGGCTATGGAGTGGATTCTTTACAAAATTCTTTCATAAAATTTTATAAACATTTCTATAAACTTTCTAATGAACTTCATATCCAAAATTTAGTGATCACGTTACAATGTGATACTAGCTTAATGTCATTTACACTTGAACCTACAAAGTGCTGTTTGTTATAGTGGAATTGTACATAGTAACATCAGAAAAAAAAGTATTTTGAATACTTTTTTTACGTTTACTCTTGAGCACAAAGGAAAATTATCTAATCGGCCACACATACAGTAACTGCGTAATCTGTATTCAGGCACAGGGCAGAGTTATGCACTGGAGTGAATGCACTGGAGTGACTGCACTAGTTAGTAGTGTGCTTTTATTAGCCTTTATGTAACATTTTGCCAATGCCTCAGCACTTTGCCAATGCCTCAGCACTTTGACAACAACGTGAAGGTGTTTTAAGTGATATAAATTAAAGTAATGTATCAATTTCAGATCCTCCCCGATGTGTATCATTCCATCCTTCATGATTCACAATATGCAGACAATGTAGCTGAAGAAGTGTTGACATGGATAAAGAGCCGCACACAAATGTTTGATAAAGGCAAATATTGCATTTGTAAGACTAAACCACCTACATGAAACATACACAGGATTTTATCAAGAGAACAACCCACAATGGAAGCTAAAGTAGCGCCCACAACATTAAAGTCTAGGAATGCTAAATTTTAAAGGATCAATGCAACCAGCAAAGGTTTCAATTAGAGCTGAATTCACACCAGGCCGAATACAAATTACCGGATCGGAAGGACACTGAACAGATCAGAAAATGGAATCCTAAATGTGTAATAATAGGGTCGCTGGCATTCAACGCATCTGATGTGAATGCTATGTATGGCCAGATTAAAGAAGGGGCAATGTGAACTATGCAATATAAATGTATCCCACTCCGTCCAATAACTTACGAAAAAAAATTAAGTTTCTTAAACAAAAAAAATTTATTATAAATATTAGAAAACCGAAGAAATTTCAATAAACAAGAGACAACACGTTACTATTAGAAAAACGTTGAGAGCTTATAAACATAAAAGAAAATTAATATTTGAATTCCTCTGTATTATATGTAAGCTTTAGCCTTTCAATTAAATATTTGCGTATAGCCAAGTTCATAAAAGATACATGACATCATGTTTAGTGGCAATGGTTTCTTACCTTCTTTTGCTATTTCTTGACACACCTAACTATACTGTTATTTGGGTTGTATCTTTGTATGTTGTAAATGAAAAAAAAAATAATAATAACTCCTATTTTTTTAATTATCTTAAAAATTTCTATTTCTCAAGATTGTTAATCGTAAAAACATAGAGAGCGGCAAACGTTATACAGCTGTCTTTTGGATGCTAATAATTTAGCTTTAGAGCAATTAATATTATTGAACTATAGTTTTTTTAAATACATTGATACAAATAGAAAAACAGTTTTATCCATTTTAGAATATGGTTGTTTTGTATAAAAACATTTTTATGTGTTTTAATATTATTACATCAGAATCAATTTTAATCTGTTTGAAAGATGCAATGTTATATTCGGTGGCAGCACTAGTGGGGGTAAGATACACGACCCCAAGTTAGGAAGTAGGAAACCTCCAGTTGGGGGACAGGTGAACTGACAGGAAAGAATTCAATCACTTCGTCATTAAACACAGCTTTAAACAAACATTTTTTTTTTCATTCTAAGGTTGCCATGTTTGGGCAGATAAAGGGTTTTTTTTTCTAATGAAGCTTTTCGGAATCAGCTGATAAACACAATGTACGTTTAAGGAGGAATAGTTTAGCCACATTATCATTATATTAATAGTATTCTGTTACTTCTCTGTTATGTAATTTTTGTGCCATTTTGAAGGAGAGAGGCAGAGAATTATAGATAATTCATTGCTATAGGTTCTTGTGCAAAATGCAGGAACTTATGTCACAGTTTTTCTACATTTTTTTCTTCTCTATATTGTTATCATAATTGTTGTGTAATTTAGTAAGAAACAAACTAATAAAGCAATACATAGGATAATACTTCCTTTAATTTGGAATTACAATTTCTTTTGTCATCTTTTTAATGTCTTAAAATAAGAATTTTTTTTTAAAGTTGTTAAAAACACTTGCATGTTCATTTTTTCCTCAGAAAGTGAAAATAATTCACATGAATACATACTTCATACCTAAATTTAACAAAGCTTTATAGCAATTATACTTTATCTACGCTTTTTCTGTGCATTTTTGAGTCTGAACAATTTAATCTTTCTCCTTTTCTCATTTTTGGTAATTGTTGAGTCTTTGTTATGGTGCAATTTTGTTTGGTGATTTAGTAATCCTTTCGATTTTAATTTCCTTGATTTTTCCCATTCTTTCTTGTGTAACATGTACAGCCTCATAGCAACACGGGCATCTTCAACCTTTGAAATAAATTTTAAAATATAATAAAAGAAAGAAAATGATAAGTAATATTTATAATCTCTAATATTTGTTATACAATTTACAGGTAGGTAATGTCAATTTTTGCTAATTAATAATTGAAACTACGAAAACAGATGCATTTATTGGCAATATTATAGGTAATGATGTCAGTCTAAAGAACTGTCCAGAGAAATAGATTTCATTTGAAAAAAAAAATGCAACATGCCTAAATATGGTCATAGTGACATCACATCATTACCATATATAGGCACATCATTATCAAATATTGGCATAAATCAGTTTTTTTTGTTTCTTTTTTTGTCAAAGGAGTGGATTGTATTGGATTTCTTCGGTGTGAATATAATACACACCAAGAATAAAACACGAAAATCCTGGGACTTATTTATAGACGGAGTTCCTCTGGTGGTGAATTGGGCAGTACACCGCGAAAAATCCCACATTCTTTTCCGAAAAGTTTACTGTGTTTTTTATACGTGCACATGGGCCATTTTGGACATACAACCAACGGCTTAAATGCCTCATCTGATAGACGGTGCACTTTTGAAACTTGCATTTCAGGCTTCCAGCTAAAACACAAGGAGAAAAGCGATGGGATTTGAATCATGGACCACAAGATCTCCACTTCATTGATTTCGGGATGACTGTTTTGTGGATTTCAAAGTATACATTATCAATTCTGTAAAAGAAATAACTTAAATTCCATCCAAATTAAAAAAAAAGAAAGGAAATATTGTACTCACTGAATCATGTTCACCACCTTGTATATTTATGTTTAGGATAAGCTTAGCAAGCGTTTTCAAGCTGGGTTTAGAGCCCTGTATGAGAAAGGATACAGCAAAGGATTTAATACACATCACATGAACAATATAGTCTGACATGCTACAGATTCAAAATAATGGATTTTACAGAACAGTAACAACATAAAATTTAGCAGCATCAGTCTTTGGAAAAAGCTTAATGGTAAGATATGCTTGCCTTCCATCCCTGGGCCCTAGGTAAATTCCTATAGCCATATATTATGCATTAATTATTAAAAAGCATAACTGGGTCCTGTTGCACAACAGTAGATATCTACTGGACAGGATATCCAGTATATATACAGAAGAATAAAATAAATTAAATTTACAGTGTGTTCATTAAGATTTTAATAAAGTACAACTACGCTTGGTTTGGAGGGACAAATGCATTAATTTCATCGAGAATAATACAAATTTCTTATTTAGCAAATTTTATTATCAGCGGGTTGTCTACAAAATATATGGTATACAAACTTTTACATTGTAGCACAATCTAACTGTTGCAAAAAATATCTGTTTGTTGAACTGAAGCATAATTTATTCAAGGGTTAATTACAATGATAAAAGTGACTAAAGCAGTTGTTGAGTAATTTCCTGGTGACCTACGGTGGCAGGTCAAAGGGCGTAGGGATGATGGAGGGTCTAAAGTTTATGACACCTCCAGATGGTCACAAACGGCAATCTTTGACTTAAATTTGAATATAATTAATTATTTTAAATATTTAGGGGGCCCGGACCGGCTCCCCCACCCCCTTTGAGTTCGCCACACATCTGATTAATGATCTTTCTTAACACATTATTTTTCAGTTAATGTTTATATTTTGAAAAGCTGCTAAAAACCGATACTACAAGATGTATTGTCATCTAATTCATTTGTATTTCTTATTTGTACTAGTGCACAGAACAGCTAAGTAATACTGCACAGGTACTGATTATATTTTTTAAATGGAGGTGTGGTTTTAATATTAATATTTTGGCTGGAGCAGCTGGAACGCAAGATCACCCGTAAAAATGAACTATCAAATCAACCATTAAAGTGTGGATTCCATACGATCTCTTCACAGTTGCTACAGCATTTTCACTTCAGTCCTTGTACTACAGGCCCGTATTTAGGAATTTCAATGGGGGGGTTGGGGGTTCGGCTTGGGACTATGCGGAACTCCAATATCAAAACACACAAACTTCTTCTTCTCTCCCCTAAATGGGGATTTTATTCAGTGTGATAGGCCTCAGGCCCTTTTACAGTATAAATAAATATATATTTTTAGAGCAAAAATGACGTCATTTTTCATAATTATTCCCTTGGGGACGGTAGACTTTGTTTATTTCTAGAGAACTCTAAATACGGGACTGTACTACGTAGCTGTCCCGACAAAATCGGGAACGTTTTCCTAATTCAACCGACTACAAATCAGCGTCGCCAAAGGAGTCTGCGATAGAGTGTAGCAGTTTTTATGGAAGAAAGGCTTTACATAAACCAGTGGCTATCACCGTGTTTAGTCATGAGGTGCCTTTTGCTATGCATGAAGCTCAATCCACATTACCATATAATTCTTTGACAAAAAAAAAACAAACATATATGGTCATGATGTGCCAATATATATGGTCATGATGTGCCAATATATATGGTCATGTGATGTCATCATGACCATATTTAGGCATGTCACATGTGTTTTGTATTTGTTTCGTTTATGTATTTTTTTTCAAATAAATATATGCTTTCGTTATTATATGGGTCGCTCGTTACAAGTGCCACTTGATGAATGGTTTTTCCTTTCATCATTTGGCGTATACTTTTTGAGCAGTGCCCTCTTTCACACAAGTCTTCTTTTTTTATGAAATCCGACTGTTCAATATTTACCTTTTGATATTATATTGTATTGTGTGAAGAAATAAATGTTTATTTGAAGTTGAAGTTGAAGTTTTTGAATAAAATTTGATAGTCTGGACAGCGCTTCAAATACAAACTATAATACTGGATCCCTATTTCCTCACCTTGTTTAATCTTCGAAATGGTTTATACTCAGAAGTGTCTCGTATGTTCTTCTTTGGATGACCTAGAAATAATACCTGTGAGGGAAGAAAATATGTTAAAATTATTATTTATAGATCATATATAGGAACATCATGACTATATGCAACAGTTTTTGGTTAATAAAATTTGAGAGTGTGGACCAGGGGTTTAGCCAGAAAAAAAGAAATAGGTTACTTGTCGGGTAGCGACAGCCGAGGTACGAGGCCCCGAGCGGGTAGAGAGGTAGATCATGCCAAACTAGGCTAGTCCGAGCAAAGTAGGCCTAGCCCTCCAAGCCGTCACGGTAAAAAAATATTTGCTGGTAGTCCAAAAGACGGCCGGACGGTCCACTGGCTAAGCCCTTGTTGTAGAAAGAGGTTTACAATACACAAGTATGATCACAGTTTTATGATAGAGCAATCTTTATTATAATCATCATAAAAGTGTTTTTAAATAAATTTTGTGCAGCGAATAATGTATTTTTATAATTTTAATATTATGATACCTGTACTACAGATATCATTTAAACTCATTGGACATATTTGCCCAATAATTTATTTAATGATAATGACAGAAACAATAATTTTAAATAAAAATATCTAAGTTTCTGACATTGTCCCAAGATATTACAGATTAAATTCCATCAAAACATGATGATTGGTTCTCGAGTGTCAATCAAACTTAATATACACGTGTCTACCAAACATGTGTGTTGTCTGACACACACACATAAGTTTGCATATGTTTTTACACTATCTTTCTGTGGGACTACTGTAATTAGCAGCCGGGTCTCAAGTATCCCGCAATTTGGAAATGCCTCCTGCAAGCAAAAATCTCCCGAAAAAAAACCCATTTTTCAAAAAATATCTGCACGTGTATACAGATGTTAGTACCGATGGGTATCACCTTTAGCAGACATATAGAAATAAATATGTTATGAAAACTCATTTAACAATCTCCCAGCTTGGTACCACTGCCTTAGCCACAATCCAAGAGAATTTGTGGAAGTGGGGGGGGGGGGGTGTCAAAAGATGCAGAAGGAACATTACAAGCATACCTTAAGATCATTTGATAGTGCATGTCCAATAATAATTCTGTCTTTTAAGATATCTGCTACCTCCTTCTGCACATTTTTGAAATCTTCTCCTGTAAAATGCAAAAACACATAAGAAATACAATAAGTAATGATAAGCTTACAATTCTATTTTTCATCTGGTTTATTACAAGCACAGGTCTCTCTCAAAGATCCCTCCAACTAAAGACCATCTCTATAAAGATCAACCCCAATTAAAGATCACTTTTCTGCGGTCCCATATTTACAAATGGCTATTACCTTTGTTTATTCTAATTAGAGACCTAAGGTGCTAAAAACCATGGAAACCCAGGTAACAAAAGTCGTCTTTAATAGGAGAGGAAGCTCAATACCGCTATAATTGTATCATAAACATATTCATACTTATGAAAAGTAATCATAAATAAGGGATAAACTAAAGCTATGTTTCTGCAGCACAGTTTTTCTGGTAATTTCTCCAATAAAATAAAATTCCCTCCAAATATTTTATCCCATCATGCAACATTATGGACAACAATGCAATGTGTTCAACATCAAAACATCTGTTTTGTTGACCAGCAGGTAATCCTGTTTATGTGCGAGATGGATAGGTGTAGGCCAAGGATGAAATCGTTCAGTACTATTTCACTCAAGCAAATCGATTGTCGCACAATGCTTTGTGGGGCATATATAATTATAATAAAATATGCTACCCAAATTTGAATGGTATTTCTTGAAAGAGGGGCCAAATTTCAGTCTATGTAAAAATTTTCAACTTTTTTTTTGCAATTTTATGTATTTTTAATATTTTGACTTATACAGTAGTTTATATCATATTGTATTTTTATGGCGGCCCTGTTTTTGGTGTTTGACACACTGTTGTGTCATGAATAAACAAATAAAAAATAAATGAGAATGTGTTAACCACATCTAATAAGTGGCTTCTTCCAACTTAAAGAAATATGTGGAAATGAGAGGTAGTATGATTGTTCATGATAGTGTTTATACTCATAGATACACTCTGTGAATATTAGGTTTTGGAATTCCCAAAATCCCTTATGAGCCAAAAACTCGCACAGTGTTAATCAACAAAAAAAAAAATATCACTATTTGTGGCCAGTATTACATTCAAACAATTATGTGCCTTGCAGCATAAAAACAACAAATATAATATATGTTTCTATGATTGTCGCTGTGTCTCAAAAGACATTTTTTTACATCCATTGAGCGAACACACAAAATATACAATGCAATATGATTTAGATAAAGAAGAAAACAATCTATGAAAAGAAGGCATAATCCCAAAAAGATAAAGATCTTGTGCTGTGCATGCCTTAAAGGAAATAAAAGTTAAAACAATCATAAAAAGGAAATCAAAGTAAAAAAAAAACACCAAATAAATAAATAAACAAATAAATAAATACATAACAACTGAAGTTCATTTAAATGCAGAACAAATCAAATAATGACTGAGGATATAATAATTTAATAGTATGACATTTGATTGTCTGTACGATTTGTCCCACCTTTTGGTCATTTGACTCAAGTAATTGTGTCAACCAATTGGAATTACCCTGATAAAAAACAAAATATAAATAATAAAATACATAACAGAGTGTATAACATATTCAGATACAAAATTGTACTAATTTTCATGTCACAAGTAACTCACCAGATTTGATGTGATGAGGTTTTATCCCACTCACAGGAGTTCTAAAGTCAGTCACCCTTTCCCTTGCTTTGACATATTTATCATATACACATTTTCCAAATTCATTAACGATTGAAACTCTAGCTAGAACACTGTCCTGCCCTTTATAACCAATGCCAACCATCTCACAATCTAGAGCAACATGCCTTGTAAGTCTGCAAATAAAAAAAAAAGGTTTATATTATTGTGTTGATGTCAAAATCAAATTCTTTTAAAATTTGTATTGGATTGGATTGGATAGGATTTATTCGGTGTAACACCAAGGATAGCCCACGAAAGTCTAGAAGAAGACTTATTTCCAGTGGGGTCCTTCTGGTGGTGATTGGGCAGTACACCAGGAGACAATCCCCTACTCTTTCATCCGAAAGACGGTAGGCTACTATAACTTGCATTTCAGCCCCCCAGCTGAAATACAAGGAGAGGCAGCGATGGGAATTGAACTGGGGACCTATAGATCTCCACAATTCAGCACACACACAGTGGCTACCACCAGATTAGCCGACTGAGCTAAGCTGCTCTCTAAAAATGGCATTGCATTACTTATACAGCAGCATTGTTGGAAGGTTAGAAGAATAATTCATAACTCGCAGCGTCACTGTGCTGAATTGCATGTGTGTGGTCCGTGACTACCTACCTGCGGTATAAAGAAACACTTATAGCTTCATGTTCATTATATATAATGGATTATCATTAATTAGATTTGGTCATTCCAAATATAATTACTGAAAACATGGAAAAAAAAAACAATAATTATTAATTATTAATTATTTTATAGGTGTTTTTTCAACATTTACTGTAGAGCTCTATCTTTATGATACTGTTATAGCATCATACTTCAATTATCATTAATTACATTAATTAATAATCCAATGTATGAAATTTTTTAAATAAAAATCTTTTCATTAAAATAAAATATAAATGAATTTGTCTGTACAAATGAATTCTAGAGATACTGTCATTTGATCAGTCTTTTATGCTAGTATTATAACTCATACAGTATACTGTAGACATTAAATGATAGTCTTTAAAAATTAAAGAATTTAAATATTGCTATTAAAACATTCCGTAAAACTAATACACACACACTGATTATGTTCCCACCAATCCTGGGACTACATGAGGCTCAAAATAATAGGTCTACAGCACTTCTAAATGGCCAGAAATTTTACTCTTAAAGACTTAAATTTGAAAGGGTTTTTTTTTTTTTTTTTTTTTTTTCTGATTCCCCCACTTTTTTTTTTATTAAAAAAAATTCTCAGGGCTGAAGGTCTTGCTAGCTGCTCAGTTAAGCTTTCCTAATAATAATTTCAAAGTCGATCCAATTTTACATGCCAAATTGTTGTGTTCCATTTAATTCTGTAAGTCAAATTTTATCAAAGTCGAACAGTATTTTAATGGCATTTTGGATTCAACTTTGGCAAGTTCAACTGTAGGTGGTTTACAATACTTGAATTATCTGGTTTTGACAATCAATAAAATCTAATAAACCTACCGGTCATCACCGTCATCATCTACAAGAGCAACTGGTGATTTCTGTTGATCCACAATGTCGCAAGATTCTAGTAAAGATGGATCTACATCATCAAACCAAATATCTTCTGTATCATCTTCCTTTTCATGTTTCCTAGGAAACAGAATATGGTATCACATCAAAATTAATGGTTTTAATCAGTATTTTGACAAGTCTGTACAGTGTAATGCAATTTTGGAAAATGTAAATAATAACCTTGTAAATGTTATTATAAGTGGACCGTGACGTCATCACTGCAACTCCTAAAGTTATCTGCCTATCCCTCACATTACAATAATTGTTCACATAGACTACGGTTGGCTTGATTTTTTTAGATTTGTGTGCAAAAGATGAAAACAACTTTTACAGTACGTATTGTGCACCGCGATTGAAAATTACTTTTGTAAAACAACATTGATTAAAACCCGCATAAATGTCTTCAAATTCAATTAGGTACGAACAATTAATTCCTTCTTACAATTAATTCCGATCTTACCTGTCTGCACCGACCAAACAGTGATTACTGTATTCTCTAAAATGCTTTAAGAAATTGTTATTTCTTTCACGACAAACAAGTTCTTCAAACACAATAGTTATTCATCGTAGGCTATCTGTACTGCAAACCTTGCAGGCCCACAGGATTTTTTTTCAAGCATTAAATCTAACCTTCGTATAATAATTTTCCTATAGTGTTTTATGTGCAGCTTTACAAATTGCTTATTATCAGACATATTGTGCTCACTGTATGTTCTCAGGTCATTAAAACTTACTATGTATATTACTATCAATTATGATATTTCTCTATTAAAATGACCAGCTCTAATACAAAATGGAAACTTGATTTTAAATCTTGGGACTTAGATGTGTATAAGAGACAGGCTCAATACCGCTATAATTGTATCATAAACATATTCATACTTATGAAAAGTAATCATAAATAAGGGATAAACTAAAGCTATGTTTCTGCAGCACAGTTTTTCTGGTAATTTCTCCAATAAAATAAAATTCCCTCCAAATATGTTTAATAAAAATAAAATAATAAAATAAAGGGCATGGTTAAAATAATTGTTTTAGCATGTCATACATTAGCAGCAAACTTTGTGAAATAAACAAATTCACAATGGAGTCATAGGTCACAGCAACAAAAGTAATTACTTACCAGACACTTTTCTTGTCTGTCTTTTGTATTTTTACCTTTTTTCTTTTATGAAATTTGGCAACAATATTTTCATTTCTTGGTAATGTCTAAAAAAAAAAAACCCTAGGGTAATATATCATAAGGATCAAACTGTTGATTTTTTTTTTTTTTTTTTTTTTTTTTATGTAAAAAAAATTTTTGTTTAAATATATGTTAGTTACATTGAAGAAAATACGGGCATTAACAAATATCAATGTACAGTAGATGAATATTAAATTATAGAAAAGTATCTTAAAATTTGTTTCGCCACATTTCAATTATTTCAAAGTCAAATAATAGCTTCAAATACTAAATTTCATAAAGTGTTCTGTTGCAAAGAAACATAGACAACTGAAAATATGACTATACTTTTAGATTCAACACTAACCATACAAAACTGCTATGAATATTCCATAATTCAAAAACATACATTAGTTTTTGCATAATCTTGGCTAACCAACAGACAGACAAACAACGGTGAATACATATATCCTCGGCAGAGGTAAATAATTAAGTACTGTACCTGAAATAGGGCCTTCCAGTTGGAATCTACATTTTCATACTGGCTACATCTATCCCTGTGTTTCCTTTTGGAGCTAATTACGATTGGAAGTTGAGTGTTATCAGTTGGAGACTGTTCCTTCACTACATCTTCTCCTGAAATCATACACACTTTTTGTTGACTCTTGTCTTCATTATCCATTATCAAACCTCTTTTCTGCTTGTTGGCTGTCTTTTTCGTATTACCTAACGTTGATTGTTGGCCTGTACAACGTTTCTCTGTAACTGATACTGTAAATCCACTTGTAGACTTGCTATTATGAGATTTCATTTTGCAATAATGCAGCTGGCCTGAAATCTATATAAAAATTATACAATATTAGTATTAATATTGTTTTATTGTTCGATTACCTAAATTTTATAATTATCTTGTTGAAAGATAATTCTATTGATATTTATTATGATTCATTTAGAACGTTTAAACGTAAAATTAAAGTTATATATTTAGATTTTTGACTGTTTTTTTGTGTGTATTGTAACTGGATTGTTCTTTATTGTTCTCTTTGTTTTATGTTATTCCATTCTGTAAGTGGCGGGCTCCCCGCTGTTGATTGTGAAATGAAATAAAAATAAAATAAAATAAGTATTAGACTAAACCATAAATGTGAACACATGCTTGATAAGGCAAAACTTTTTTTTAAAAACCTTGTTTAATATCAAACTTATATTTTATTTTAAATTGTCAAGAGGCAGGGTTCCCAAGTCTCCAGGAAGTCGCGAAGTCTCCCGGAAATGCTGGAAGCAAGCAAGAATCTCAAGGAAAATAACCCATATCTCGCAGCATGGTGTATAACAAGTCATGACACCCACGGACGAGAAAATGTTGGGCCCCTTGCATATCAGTAAAATAGACAATGCCAACAAGTGTGTGATTATTTAACAATAATATAATCATAAATTTAAAATTTATTATTGCCTGCAAACAACATGAATTAGGTCTAGTATAAATCCCGCAAAGCAAGCAAGGATCTCCACGAAAATATGGGGCGAGAAAATGTTGGGGCCCTTGCATATCAGTAAATTAGACAATGCCAACAAATATTGTGTGATTATTTAACAATATAATCATAAATATTTATTTTTCTTATAGTCTGCAATGTATAAATTAGGTCTACAGGGATATGCATAAATCCTGCAAGCAAGCAAGAATATCCAGGAAAATTACCCATTTCCCGCAGCGTAGTAACAACAAGTCATGGGGCCCAGGAACAAGAAAATGTTGGGCCCTTGCAATTGCATATCAGTGAAGTTGATTTGTCAACAAATGTTGTGTGACTATTTAACAATGAAATCTCATCAAAATGAATGTCAAACAGTTACAAAGAGTAAACCCATATCTCTGTCTCTTATACACATCTAGATGTGTATAAGAGACAGTATATATATATACTGATATTTGAATTAATTTGGTCTACGCAAAAATCGTTAATTTATTACGTGAATTTTATTAGCGTGCATACAGTAGATAATAAATGCTTAATCATGAATGTACAGTTCAGGTATTGATCTAAGTTCTAAGGAAGATTTGCCATTATAAAAGTATTTTTCAAAAAATAAAAAATAAGGTAAAGTTAGCCCTCACCCCCAAATGATTTAAAAAAGAAAAAAAAGAAAAAAGAAAACTCCAGAAAGAGAAACATTATTGTACACCTTTTAAAAAAAAAAAAAAAAATTTTTTTATTTAAAATCCATCAGTGTCTATGGTCTCAAGAATCTTCTAAATGAAACTCAACACCATCCCTGCTCGTTGCATGGTCCCACCCAGATTTTTCCCTAGAGATCATCAACCCCTGGTTATCTATAAGTGCCATTCCAACAATTAAATAATCACTACGAAAATTCAGAGATGGACACAAATTTACTTTCCCCATACAATGTAATAACATCAGGCTTAAAACTTATTAATAATTTTTTTCTTCAGGTTGTTTAGGATTGAAAATACCAATATGAAGACGGTTAGGTAAAGAAAATTGGTTAATTGTTTCAATAAAGTATCACTTCGATACCACAAATTATGTTGCTCTGAAAAATTAAAGGCCACTCTAATAGAATAACCATCGTTCTTTATAGTCCAACTGATGGTGCTGTAGGCCTTTACCATCCGAATATCCGATTTAATTACTGTAGTAGTACAGTGCACCCCTACATTGTTTAATTGAGTTTAACAATGTATATTAGTCAGTACTGCATTAATTTATAGGCCTACTATGGCAGGTAATCATATATTTCTTTATTTATTGAGCCATGTTTTAGGGCGGAGGCAAATTCTAAGGTGTGGGTATCAGCTGGTGAGAGCCCCATCATTGTTGAAAATTAAAATAAATATGTACCATATTGTCAAAAGCATTGTATTACAATGAGCCCTCAGGCCTCTCATGGGCTCATTTGGACTTGGAATACAGGCATTACAGTACAGTATATACGGTAACTGGTCAAAGCTCAATAGTAAAATAAAAGGCTGGTTGTTTGGTAGGAGGGCTCCCTCCCCCCTACTTCCAATCTGCCAAAGAGTGTGTTTGTGGGATTTTGGTCTATTTGGTAATTTGAAAATTAAAAAACAAGTTACCGTATATTGTAGAAGAGTTGTATTGTAGTACTGTAGAGTACTGGGTAGAGGTGCCACACTGCACTGTCTGGGGCCCATTTGGACTGTGACTGGGCCCCAGAAAAAATAAACCACTATTAAGGCTCTTTAGTTAATTGCTACCGTAGGTAGTAGAAGGAGGAGCCCGGGGCCGAGCCCCGAGAGCTCACAGGCGTTACACCACTGATGTCCTGCAAATTCATTTGTATGTTTTTACTAAATTTGTATGTTTTTACTACTAATAACAATTGTCTCAAGGAAGTTGGATGCCAATGTGTAACCACTAAGCACAGGAAAAATATAATTAAATATGAAAGATAGGGACGGACAAAAACAAAAATATATAAAATTTTGTTTTCTTATTTAATTTAGCAAAAACAATGATTTTGCCATGCATGTACAGTAAAAAAAAAAATAGGAGAAAATAAAATAATGATAAAGAAATGTATAGGGCCGTCCTCATTTCGTTAGATTTCAGCGGAGCGGAGGCATTAATAAAATAAAATAAATTAAAAAAATTTTATTGCAAAATTCCATTTTTTTGGTAGAGGCTGTGAACTGGTACAAAAAAATATATATATATTTTTTTTCGAAATCACTATATTGGTGGTCAAAGGTTCCACCTAATGCTATAAAAGGTATATATACCCGAGTTGGATTCAGCGATTATTAAACATAGGCCTACCATGACGCTACAGTCAGATGAGTATGCAAAGGAAAATAATAACAATATAACAATTAAATAAAAATAATAACAATTTGCCGGTACTACAGTAGTATACTGTAGGTAACACAAGTATTTTATTAACATAGGCCTACCATGACGCTACAGTCAGATGAGTATGCAGAGGAAAATAATAACAATAAAACAATAAAATGAAAATAATAAAAATTTGCCGGTACAGTAGTATAGGTACAACACAAGTATTTTATTAACATAGGCCTACTGTACCATGACGCTACAGTCAAGTGAGTATGCAAAGGAAAATCAAATAACAACAATAAAACAATAAAATAAAAATAATAACAATTTTCCGGTAGTAATGTAACACAAGTATTTATTTGTGAAAAGGATCTTACTGAATTGTGCAGGCAATTGCTTGGAAAATAGGTGCCATAATGTATATGTAAGGTATTTTAATTGCATGGACGATACATCTCAAATTAGGTAAGGTAATATTTTCGCAGAAAATTGCTAGGAATATAGGTGCGGAGAATTTAATAGTCTGGTCCAGAATGTATGCTTGTCATCTTCATCCTGTTCACATGGTTTTTAACAAGGGAATTACTGTAGATTCATTAAACAGACTTGACCACAGAGCATCTATTACTGATGCTATTAGAGGGATAAACTGGCTGAATCTTAAATCTCGCTGGTCTCTCTTTCTTCTAATATTTACCCATAGAGGCTCTCATAGTCATGCTCCTGCACCAGTCCAAGATCTTATAACTAAAAGGAGCGATGTTGTATCCCGAGATGGTGGCAGGAGTATCAACAACCTCTAAACATATAAATATGACGTGGAAGTGGGTAAAAATATGGTCAGAATGCTCTGCGGTGAAGTTGTGGAATTCTCTTGCTGTCTCACTATAAACGTGAAACTACTACTGTAGCATCTTTAAATTTGGTGTCAAGAGGCTTTTAGCCCAGAGACAAATCTAGTTAACTTCTTACAGTATGAATATGTTTTTAAAGATGGTATTTCGAGATTTTTTCTATAAAAAAAAAAAATAAAAAAAAAAAAAAAAAAAAAAAAAAAAAAAAAAATTGGGAGTAGCACAGCTTTTTTGTTTCAATGTACTCAATTTTTGGCAGAGGATATTCCCCGAGTAGGCCTTACTTTACTGGAATAGGTGCACAGAATCATAGCTATAGATAGGCCTAAGCCTACACATTAATGATCTTGATCTTGAAGGTACTGTATATATACTTGAGGTTTTGATAAGGTTCAGTTTAGCGATTTTTCAAAGAGAAATGAAGCTACGTCCACTAGATTTCACCAATGGAAAATTCAGAAAAGTTCATTTGAAATTGAAAAGTCTCGACAAAATGCATTTTCGTTTAGAACAATCAATTGTTGGAACGCTTTCCCAAACTGAATAGTGGATTATCTTTATGCACTTATAAATTGTAGTTCCCCAGCCAGGGATGTAATTTACGAAACGGTTACGTGTATGTGAAAGTCTCGACCCCCTCCCAGCAATGCGGGGCATTGTTTTAACATACAATACTGTACATCCCTGGCTTAAAGTCCCTGCCACTTACCGCTGGAAAATATTTCGTAGCCCCGGAAAAATGCCCCGTTAATAATAAATATGATAAGGCCTATGTACTGTAGAAAACATACAGAGCAAGACCCAAAAACATATTGTGGGACAATTTGAAGGTCTAGCCTACTTCTGATTTTGAGAAGCATGAGAGAGCAGGAGCTATGCCAAAGAGATGAGCTTCCTTGATGGAAGCACTACGTATGCATATTATCACTAGGTAGATTTCCATGGAAGTTTGGAAAAGTGAGAAAAAAGGAGTGTACAGGTATGTCAGTATTGATTGATCATAGAAAAAGAAAATTTAATTGATTGATTTAAAACTGATTGATAGAATTTATTCAGTATCAAAAAAAGAAATTAAAGAAAATGAATACAGTACAGTAATAGTAGAAACAGATTTCCTTGCATTGGCTCACTGGTGTTTACAAACTTCTCACGTCACCTCGGTCCTGTGGTGGAGGTTCAAATTTATAGAACCATGTAATTTATACTGTGATCTATAAAAAATGAAACCATGATGGTAGGCCTAGAGTAGCGGTAAACAATTTTTAATATACCAAAACGGGTCTGTACCTTTGGTCTGAAGGGTCTTTGGTCCGAGGGCCCGTTGGTCCGAGGGTCTTTGGTCCGAAGGCTTGTTGGTCCGAATTAGTGACCTTTTTTCCAGGAATGCAGTTTGTATGGCAGTAGAACAATTCCTTACAATTTATGGAGGAAATTAAGAAAGATCACTTTACATATTTTCCCTTAAACGACATATAAGGCCAAGTTAAAAAAAATACTAGTTTCTCGTCTCTTCCCGCATCCATTTTCGCTGCCTCATCATTTAAAAAAAATATTTCCTTCATTTTGCGAAATGTACGAAAATATGGCTAACTCACATCATTAAAATTCCTCTCTCGATCGTGGATAGGGAGATGTTCCCAGTGAGAATTTTAGTTGAACTATTACGAGTAGTATTATGAATTAAAACTCAATGTACTATGATACGAATCATATATAGTGCTTATTTGCTTTTAGGGGCATTTCACAGTATTTTCGTTTTTCACGGACGGGACATTTTTGATAACATAACCAGTTATATCTCAGTAACTATATAGATTATAAGACCTAGAGTATGTTCAATGTTTACATGTTATGCCTAAGGTTAATTATTGGAGGAGAAAAATTGAAATTTTTTTTTTCTTTTTAATTTTATGATAAAAAATGTATGCGTCACGGACGGGACAAAATTTGGACATGACTTTCAGAAAGGTTTACGTATTCAAATATTTCTCCTCATCTAAAAGAGATATTAAATTATTTTTTGTTTAATACTATCTCCAGATGATTGTTTTACACACCAAAAAATCATAAATTTAATTTTACGAAAAAATATGAATTAAGTGCTGTCACGGACGGGATATTCGATAATGTCACGGATGGGACACTTTTGTCCAATGAGAGAAAAATCGTACTTTTCAATATAAAAAAAGGGATAAAAATTATTCTCTGATATCAATGCAACATTTTACTTACTTTGCTACTAGACCGGGAGCCCAGAAAATTTAATCATGTGAAAAGAGACAAAAGGTTTGATGGTCTGGTCAT